TCCACCACCTCGATCGCAGACTCAATCCCCTGGGGCGCTCTACGGGAACAGGAATGCAAAGCCTATTGACCCGATCCCTCGTCCTTCGTCGGTCACGGACACAACTTCGCCGCGGGCTGCCTTGTATTCTCCCATTACTATGCAACCCAGCTCCACCTTCCCTCCTATTTCCACGACTACCTCGCGGCCGCGTGGTAACACTCAGAATTTCAACCTAGTGCCCCCGACAGATGGTAGAGAGCATGATCCCCTACAGAGATGGCGTGGTGTTCCTCTTATTTCGTGGGGTGTAGGTGGAACTCTGGTGACAATGTTCCCCAAGGACGTGCCACGATATGGCATGAACCAAACTGCCCCCATGGTTATTCGTAGCCCAGGAGAAGTCAAGGTCAAGAGCATGAAGGATATAGAGCCGATGGAGGAGCGTTTGGCTAAATTCCCCGGGCCTTTGAAGGGAAAGTCGAAAAAGAAGGAGACCATCGCCTGGTTGACAAGCGGCATTGAGACACTGGAGAGGACTGTGCCTACTAACCTGTCTCATCAGCTCCACCCGTCTCACGAGGACAAGCGGACAACAGAGAGACTCTTGCTTTGGAAGATTCTGAGGGTCTTCGTCGAGCATGATGGCGTGTTGGAAAGTAATCCGACCGTTAACCAAGCTGTGCGCGAAATCCTGTATCCAGAAGCTTCAACCATTGGTGGTCAGCCTGAGTTCACGAATGCGCTGAACCCATCGGGATTGGGCAATTCTGCCACGACTTCACTACAGGCCGACTCGGTTGATTCCTCCGCCGTTGAGCAGATCCGCAATCATCTCATCAGTAGCGACAGTGAGAAGGCTGTTTGGGCTGCGGTCGATAAGCGGCTGTGGGGCCATGCTTTCCTGCTGGCCAACGCCCTTAACCCTGACCTTTATAAGCGGGTCGCTCAGGAATTTGTCAAGAACGAGGTGAATTCCACCGGTCACAACAATGAGTCGCTCGCCGCTCTTTATGATGTCCTTTCTGGCAACCATGAAGAAAGCGTGGACGAGCTGGTGCCCGCCCATGCCCGTGCCGGTCTTCAGCTAGTGGCCAAAGATTCCTCTTCTGGTCCCTCCAAGGACGCCATGGGTGGTCTTGATAAGTGGCGCGAAACCCTCTCTTTGATCCTCAGCAACAGGACCCCTGATGATGCCCGGGCCATCAAATCTTTGGGCAACTTGCTGTCAGGTTATGGAAGAGCCGAGGCCGCTCACATCTGCTTCTTGTTTGCCAGAAGTCAGGCCATTTTCGGTGGCCTGGATAACCCGAACTCCAACTTTGTGCTTGTTGGGTCTGACCATAGGAGGCAGGCTGACCAGTTTGCAAAGGAGATCGAGCCACTTTTGTTGAGCGAGGTTTATGAGTACGGCCAAAGCCTTGCTGGTGGTACCGTACCCGTCAGCAATCCTCATTTGGCAGCGTACAAACTACACCACGCGTATGCTCTGGCCGAGTATGGCTTCAGAGACAAGGCGCTTCAGTACTGCGAGGCTATAATGGCTGCGATTACTGCGCAGACGAAGCGCTCTCCTTACTACCATCCCATCCTTGAGGCCTATGTCGATGACTTGATGAAGCGATTGAAGCAGGCACCCAAGGAAGAATCAAATTCTTGGATTCCGAAGCCTAGCATGAACAAGGTATCTGATTCCATGTGGAACCGGTTCAACAAGTTTGTCGCTGGAGATGACAACGAGGATGGCAGTAAGGGCTCACCTGACGCTGCGGGAGAATCCGGTCCCTTCGCACGAATCGCCGGAGGAACCCCGACTATCAGTCGCTCACCCTCTGTCAACAATCTGGAGACCTTTGGCGCGCCAATCCCCAGCTATGGTATGCCTAGTGCTCCCGTGACGAATGGTCCTAACATGTTCTCTCCTCCTCCCACCCGTACTGCTTCACGCTATGCACCAGGCGCTCCTCAACCTTCGACTCCGAACTATAACCCCTACGAGACGAACTCTCCATATGCGCCTCGTTCATCAATGGAAAGAGCCTCAGGCGAGTACAGCAGAAGCTCGGTTGAGCTTCCGCGTCAGTCCTTGGATTCTCAGCGGGGTTATTCGCACAGCAGCTATGCTCCCAACCGTACATCTTCGCCTGCTCAGCCATATACACCCTACGGCACGACGCCACACGAATCATCCTACCCTCTGCCTAACATGCAGCCTCAGCCAAGTTTGGCATCGCCACCGGCTACCACCTCTGGTTATCCACCCTTCACTCCCCAAAACAACGTCCAGGCAAATGATGAGCCTGCTCACGAACTCCCATCTGCCCCGTCAACCGGCTACCAGCCACCATCGTACGGCGGGTATGAGCCTCCGTCATTCACCCCTTACGAGGCCCCGGTGACCAACAACGAGGAGGAGGTTGCCTCCAAGGAGAATGGTGACTTTAACCAGGGTGGTGAGGGTATCAACACCTTTGAGCCCCCTTCATTCCAGCCATATAGCTATGAGCCGCCTTCCTACGAGCCGGACACTCAGCCTTCGAAGGATGAGGATGAATCGGAGGAAGAGAAGCCCAAGCCGAAGAAGAAGGGCCCTATGTACGATGATGATGACGACGACTTCCCCGCGGTGCCGAAGCCTGCCGGGAAGTCCAAGGCTGAGATTGACCGGGAGAACGAGGAGATGGTCCGTCGGATCGCCGAAGAAGAAGGTTAGTACCATTCCGTCCCGCTCACATTCCACTCCAAACCCCAAACGTATCACTAACACTACCCCCAGCGAAACGCGCCGCAGAAGCCAAAGCCGCCAAAAAGGGCTGGGGCTTCACCAGCTGGTTCGGCAAGAAGGAGGCTGCCGCCGCCGACGCTGCCGCCGCCGGAAGCAGCCCCGGCAAGCCCATCCGTGCCAAGCTGGGCGAGGCCAACTCATTCTACTACGACCCCGAGCAAAAGCGGTGGGTCAACAAGAACGCCAGCCCCGAAGACCAAGCCGCCAAAAAGGCCACGCCGCCCCCGCCCAAGGGCGGCATCCCCCGCTCATCCGCCTCCAGCCCTGCTCCCCCCATGGGCATGGGCGGTATGGGCGGTGGCAGCGCGCCCAACACCCCCGGCCGCGCCAGCGCCCCGCCTACCGGTCCGCCTAGACCGGCGGCGCTCATGCCTTCGGCTTCGGAGAATAGCATCGCTTCGGGCCCACCTAGTGCTGTTGGACCGCTGAGTCCAGGTGGAGGTAGCGGGCCTAACGGACCCCCTAGTGCGGGCTTGCTGTCTCCGGGCATGGGTCCGGCGGCGATGCAGCGCACGGCGTCGAGCACGAGCGCGCCGCCGACTGGTACTAGTAAGCCGTTGAGCACGACGAGCAGTATTGATGATTTGTTGGGGGCGGCGGGACCGAGGAAGAGGGGGGAGGCAAAGAAGCCAAGGAAGGCGGCTAGGTATGTGGATGTTATGCAGAAGTAGAGGGTGATGGAGAGATGAGAGGATGGATTGTTGTATAAAGGTTAAGTTAGTTTAGATTGGATTGTTTTTGTAATGCAGAGTGTATGTACGTAATGAACGAAAGGGTTTGAACAGAAGATGATGACGTTGAAGGGAGTGAGTGATAAAGCTTGAAAAGCTGGTATACTTGATTCCACGGTTTCTTGAAGTCAAAGAAGAAATACAACCCAACCCGTATTTCAGAAAGACAATGTCGACTCATGTGCGTGCATCCCATAACAGCATCCTCATTCATCCTCACTCTCCCAGCCACGACCGATTGGAAGTCAATATTCCTCGCCAAGTTGATGTTGATGTTCATGTTATTATTCAAGGTCGCAGTCCATCCATCTCACGACGGATGATGGGTGGGTCTTGGCAGACAAGGGGTAACCCAAGTAAGTAACATCCCCAAAAAGGGGGTTTGTTTACATCGAACTGAACGCAGCCGAGTCGCAGACTCGCAGACAACCATTCGATTCGCATTTACGTTCGAAACTGAACGGAAGGAGCAGCATTCGTTAACCACACACACACACACACCAACAACCCAACAGGTACCTACCTCTACCTCTGTTTAGGTCCCTTCCCCTGTCCCGTCGCATTTCATCCGTCCCATCTCTTCGCACCTGTCCACCACCAACCTGCCCCTGCCAGCCGGTAACCTGCCCCCGACCTTCAATACTCCCCTATATAACCCACCTCCCCGCCCCTTACCTTCCGTGGTCCGTTGGTGTAATGGGTAAATACACTCGGGAGTAATGCGAGAAAGCTCTTCGTGAGCTATTTGTTACCAAGTAAACTGAAGTTACCGGTTCAACTCCGGTGCGGGCCACACCTTTTTTTTCTTCTTTTTTTTTATCCCCCCCCCCCCCCCCCCCCCCCTTTAACCTTTTTCTTTTTTTTATCTTTTTTATCTAGGAAACATCTTTCTTTGATCTTCTTGCGTTTTGGTTTCGTGAGAGTGTTGGAAGGTTCGTTGAGGGACCTAAAGGGGGAGGTACCTGTTGAGATGCGACGGGATGAGATGTGCCGATGCGATGGGACTAAAGATGACAGGATTGGGACTGGAGCATGTCCAATTTTCTGCTGCTGTAATATACAAAATCACCACCGGACGGACGGCTACAGAAAGTCATTATCTAGAAAATCACCCACCGGTCATGGCTGTGCTTTGGCCGGCTCTCTCTTCGCTCAGCTTAAAGGTAGTGATCTTCGGTTGTGATATGTTAATTACACTCATTATCACAGGTTTCTGTTGCCATTTGACATTCGTTTATGGTTTAACTTGTCATGTTGATGCTCTGTAATGAGTTCTACCTTGGTCTTCTTCACATGAATTGAACTGAAATAAATAGGTAGCCATGTCCATCTATATGCCCAATATTTTGTACGATCTAGAAAATCGTCCAGTCGTCCGTCCTTTAACTCCGTGTTTTAACATCAACATGGATGCCAAGCCTTATAGAGCTTGTCTTGCCCTTGTCCCTTCCCGTCCGTTTCCAGTATATAACCCATAACGCCATGTATGCCCAAACCTTTCAGGATCAAGCGCTGAAAGCAGTAACGTAGTACTGTTATCCAAAGGACGGGAGTGTGTCAGTAACCACCAGACTTCCAGAATCAAAAGGGGGTGCAACAGAAAGAAGAAGAAAAAACTCACAGTAACAACATCCTCCCCATCCTCCCCTCCCCGGCTCCCCGCCCCCACCCCCGGAAAATCATTACCATCCCCCCTCCTCATATAAACATACAAAATCAGCGCATGCTCGTGCGTAAAGCACGCAATCACCCTGCTCCCCTCCAGCCTGCCCACACTTAGCACCCGACTCCAATCCTTCCCGTCCACCCTGACCGTCGCCCACTTGTCCGGCCCGGCCTCTTTATACAAAGTGCTCGGATGCTCCTCAATCGGCACCGGCAGCACCGCCGGGTCCAGCTCCGGGTTCTCGAGGCAGCCGTCCCAGACACTTGTAATGTCCAGGGTGTCGGCTATCAGCCTGAGTCGGAGGGAGCCGTGCATGTTGGCTGAGAGTTCCAGTTTTGGGTTCTGTGCTTCCCGCCTGTTGGCACTAGAAGAGGAGGAAGAGGCGGCGGTGGTGACGGCCAGCTTGGTGAACCGGTCCGAAATGGCTTTGAGTTGGAGTAAGGGAGGAAGCAGGATGTGCACGTCTGGCTCCCGCACTTTCGGCTGCATGATGGTCTCGACCGTGTCCGGGTGCAGGACCCGCACGGGGATGTCTTGCGTGATGACCTTTTCGCGCTCGCGCTTCAGGCTTAGTTCGAGGGATTCTTGCGGGTAGAGGGAGTTGTTTTCGGAAAAGGGGTCGTTGTCGTCGTTGTAGCTGTCCATTCGGTCGTCATTGTTGCTGTTCTTGTTTCGACGGGCGGCGGATGGAGCGTCCTTGGTCATGGCGTGGATGGTCATGGAGAGCATGGGGATGCCGTCGCGTTTAGTGAGGCGGAGGCTGGCGTGGTTGCTGTTGAGGGCGGATTTGAGAGCTCGCTGGAGCGGGCCGAGGGGAAGCTCGAGGTTGATGGTGTTGTTGGCTTCGGCGGATTGGATGTGGTAGCTGTCGAAGATGGTGTCGACGGAGAGGGAGGCCCACACCTGCGACCCGGTGTCGGGGATGACGGTGAACCTAACTGTGTCATCGTCGAGCCGGACCCAGGCGATCTTTTCTAGAGCGTTGAGGGCGGCCACGAGTTCTGGGTGGAAAGGGCAGGTTAGAACCAGGAGAAGGAGATGTTGATGGAGGTAGGCAACTTGGGACAGGACTCACTGGAGAAGGTACGGATATTTCTGAGTTCTGTTTTGAAGCGCATCTTTCCGGCACTCTATAACCACGACAATCCGACTCAATGATAAGGAATATGATTCGAGTGATAATAGATGACAGAGTAAACCAAGCAACAAAGATCCGGACGCGTCGCGTAAATTGATGAAGTTGAAGTTGGATGCCATTACGGAAGGTGGGGATTTGATCACCAACCAAGAGCCCTGCTAGCGCGGGGTTACCGCCTGTAGCACCCCTGTATAGTGCCCCTGACCCCGGCTTTAGCTCCGCAAATCCAAGGCTCCAATCGTACCTGCCTGCTATAACGTCACCACTAAATGTACACAATTCTACTTCAACGGAAGAGAAGACAAGTGCACCCACAACATCCCCGATGAGCCTGGGTACAGTATAGTAGAAAGAAAATGTACTCCCGTCCCAGGCCAAGGTATGACATCCCTAGATGAGCATCGAAATTGGCGATTGAAGACTTCCCTCTACAGACAAGACTGGCTCAGGCCTTACTTGTAGCCAGATTTGTCAAGGCCTGCCTATTCCACCACCACTCCCACTCATAATCCCTCGCGGCATTCCAGTTGTCGAATCGAGTCTCGGGGAATCGGGCGATGGCGTACTCTGACTCTGGATCGCTCCACCTGTCTATCGCTAGTGGTGAACTGAAGATCTTCTTTAACAGAAGCTTCCATTTCGACGTGCGCTGTCGTTTCCTGCCGTGCCTCGCGGCCACCGCTCTATGCCCCCTAGCAATCATCTCGGTACAAAACGCACAGTTGTACTGCATGGATCTCGAGGCGAGGGCTCGGATCGTCTCTCTGTTGACCTTGGCGGCGTTACGGCCCTCGGTGACGAACAAGGCGGGTAGAACCGGATGTCCACAGCCGTGGACGAGCGAGTATCGGCAGATGGGGCATTGTGGTCGGTCGTAGGCCACCATCTGGATGTAGTGCTTGATGCAGTGGCTCCCAAACAGGTGTCCGCACGGCAGAACACTCCACGTCTCGACGATGCCTTCTGAGCTGGGAGAGCCCATCTCTTCGTGGCAGATGGGGCACATCTTGTCTGCGGCATCTTCCTCTTCGGATTGCTGCTCGACCTGCTCCTCCTTGACTTTCTCGGTCCAGCCGCTGTTCTTGCCTTTCGAGGCGAGTGGTTTGGGGGAGGCAGCCAGGGCCCTGTGATCGAATAGTACTCGGCTCATGATGGCGTCGCGGATTGCTTCGGATAAGGTGTAAAGCTGGGAGAAGATCCAGAGAGATATAGCTATAAGAACTCTGAAGGGAGGTTCAGCCAAGTGAAGGAAGATGAATTCGAACATTTGGTGTAACGATATGACACCAACAAGATAAGGTTGGTTGGTTGGGGGCAGGGGTCAGATGTCAAGGTTCTATCAGAATGTCTCGCTGAGGTGGGCGTTGGCACGCGCATAGGAGGCTGAAAAGGGTGGGCAACAAGGTCACCTCAACAAGACAAGGAGAAACAGGCAGGCCAATCTGAAGCAATGTGGCAAAGATGGTTGTTGTGGCTAACAAGACGAATCGTGAAGGTGTCTGGGGATGAACCAAACATTTCAATAGAAAAGTTGTATTTCTTACCTCGGGCAATGACCTCAGTTTCCCTCCGATGTTCTCTATTGCAGCCGGCTCGTCTCCGTCAGTATGAAAAGTATCAGAAGGAGTTCAAGTGTCGAGTTCGTGACACCGAATCTACGTCAAGGCCGGCGATGCTCGGCGTCCCGACTGCCTCGTTGTGGAAAAGGACAAGAAGAAGAGTGCTCAAAGAATGACGGGAGTAGTACTGATGTATGTCGAGAGTGTACGTGTGGTTGAGTGCAGTTTACCTTACAGCCTACCAATGAGATGGTGTGATTGAAGGTGCATAACCCGGGCAATGAGCAGGAGGAAGATTTTGAAATCCTTGTTCTCTGTCGTGCTCGAAACCACAAGGCTTGGGTCAGTCGTTCACATTTGGGTCGGCAACCACCAAAACAAACCCCAGATTCAGCCAATCAAACAATCCAGAACCATCAGCATGATCAAGCCAGCCCGAACTGCTGGGCATCCGAAAAGTCAGAAAGCCCATCCCACGTGCTGTGATAGAGATAAGCATAATCCTTCGAGGTTGATATCTTGGTAGCCTTCTGAAATCTTTCATCTCATCATCCTAGACGATGGTATGCGACGAGTCCCACATGCCCAAAGTCGGTACGACCTCATCCCTATTACGACCTTGCATCAAATGATCCCTAAGATGCAGCGAGATATCAACGACCCCTCCATGACGGAAATATGTCAACGACCCCTCATGACGGAAAGATAAAGTAAACAAGAGCCGCGATAGTGTCATGGTATTGTGTTATCAACGTGTTTTTATACATGCGGAAAACAACTCGAACTCCGTCGGTCTCCCTTGCACATGTTCCTGACATAGGTATTAGCTACCAACGATGAGGCACTGGTCCCAACACTGAAATATGCTTGCTCGAGAACCAAAACAGGCATCTCCGATGACTTGTCTTGCCAGGGTTTTTGTTGACAAGGCCTGGAAATGGGCCCTTACCTGAGAAGAACAGCTTGCTGAATCATACGAAAGAACTTGAAAAATGGAACAAGTGCATCTGCGAGATAAGATGGGGAGGTGAACTTATACACACCAAGTTTCAGTGGGGCCTTTGGTCCACAGTGGAGCCCTTGTTTTACTGTGACGGCCGTGCCCCACTTCTCTTTCGGGCGTGTCTTGGCGAGCAGTGGCCCAAAGGACAAAGCCAAGATCATAATTACGCGACCAACTTCAACCCCGACAACTTCAACATCACTTTCTTCGCTATCACCCATCCCACTGCCTGGGACACGAACCAACTAGCCGACACTTTGTCGGCAAATCCCAAACGCTTTAAACCGCCGATCCGTGCCACTTCACCATGGCTTCTGAGCCGCCGACGTCGACGGCGCTCGTCCGCAAGAGGACCGACACCGAGTTGATGCCACCGCCGCCCCCTGCGAAAAAGATCAAACGACCAAAGAGAGTCATCGACGAAGACAGCTATACCGATGCGCTATCGCACATTATTGCCCGCGACTTCTTCCCAGGTCTACAACAAGCAGAGTCACAGAGAGAGTACTTGGACGCCCTAGAATCAAAGGACCCAGAATGGATTTCGAGCGCCACCCAGCGTCTGCAGCAAGCCATGACCCCCGGCCGGCATCAGACACCTAACCGCCCATTCCATTCCGCGTCCTCAGGCCCTGGTTCCGAAACGCCCATGGGCTACGCTGGCGACACCCCGATGAGTACGGTATCCTCGAGAACCGTGCAGGAAAAGAGCAAGCTCGACACGAACATGAGCCTAGGCGCATTCCAGGCAAAATACACCAGCGAGGACAACGAGAGTTTCTACAAGTTACTGGATAAGCAGAACCAGAAGAGGGCGGAAAAGCACGCTTGGCTGTGGAACGGGAACAAGTTACCTTCGAAGCAACAACTCAAGCAAAGGGAGGTGGAACAGAAGCTTCTCGAGAGCGGGAAGAGTCTGATTGATGATGGGTTCAAGAAGGACCGCCTGGCGATCAAGAGCAAGGACGACGACCGACCAGCTGCCCCGGCGCATTGGAAAGCAAAACCGAACAACGAACTGATGTTTGCACCGGAAGGTGTGGACGGGCTGTTGGAGACGCCGGCCGAGCGAGCGCAAAGAGAATCACGAGCCGAGCCGAAGAGGATCATTTACGAAAATACGAGAGTCCCCCAACCCTATGTGCCTCCAGAAGATAACCGAACAAGGGCTTCATCACCGTCACTCTCGGATATTAGGAATGTGATCGCGGGCAATCGACGTGCTTGCGATACGGAAACCAGCGTCGGAGGAGGTGGCGAGACACCGCGGATCAACGGTTATGCCTTTGTTGATGACGAAGAACCAGAGCCTTCACGGAGATCGTCCAAAACACCACTCCCGGTTATCGATCTTGGTCCAGGTGATGCAACACCAAACCCGTTCCACCTTCAGGAGCAGAGAAAGAAGGAAGCGCTGCATCATCGTATGGTGGAGCGGATATCACAGTCCAAAAGAACGTCTGCGAAACTGGGACTGACTGGAAAGGTGGACCGTACACCTGTGCCGACATTCCCGAGTAGTCCCCGGGTTTCGGGCGGGTTGACGCCGGCTGCCCAAAGGTTATGGAGCAAGATTGGTAGCTCGGGGGGCAGGACTCCCAGCTCACCATTTAGTGGTGAGATTACGAGGACACCCAGAGCTGCTACGCCGAAAGTCAAGACATCTGGTTTGCGGAATCCGATGAAGTAAACGAATGTGGGGCAAGAATAGTCGGATAAAAGGATGAACGGAGGAGCGAGTTTTCTTAAGCAATATGATACCCAGACGACATGAGCGTCACACATGGAAGTTTGAGATTAGGTACTTGGGAGAAACATGACGGTTGGTAAGCCGGATAGATAGATGATGGTGTATGATTTTTAGGACAAATTTATCAGCGAAATTTCTGGATATCAACCAAGTCGATAGTAGTCTAGGTTGTAAGTCTACGTTGTACGTAATGTTTACACCCAGGTTGTTGTCGATGAGTGGATGGTGAAAGATCAGAGGAACATGAGGTTGAATATTGAGGATGGGTAAGGGTTACATTACCAAGTTTCCGGGTCGATACCACGCTAGCAGGGGCCCCTGGACTGTTCTCACGATGCCGAGCCGGGTCCAAAAATTTGCGGCTCGACTTCGGCAGCGGCGTCCCTTCGGTCACTTCACAAGTCACTTCAGCGCCCATCGTCCGCTATCTCCGGCACTTCATCCACTCACTGTCACTGTATTTCTCCATACTCAACCCTCACTCATTACCTCTACCTAGCTCCACCGGATTGGATGAGATGGGATGCGAATGAGAGTGAAACGTATCATCCCATAATAGCCGACTAATACCTCACTCATCCTTCCTTTCGTTGTTCTTTTCAACTACGTCATTGGTCTTGTCACAATCCGTTCAAAATATGAGGTTCACCGACTTGCTCGTAGACCTGGCCGCCGTGGCTAGTGCCTCCCGCTCCGTTGCCGGCAAACACGTTGCACTCCGGGCCAGCCAGATCGACAGATACAGTAAGACGAGTAGTATTGCCAACATTGCCAAGGATCTTGGGAAGAGCAAGCAACAGCAGCAGCAGCAACATTACCAACAACAGACACCGGAGGCACAACAGCAGGAGCAGAGACAGCAGGATGTGGTTCAAAGTCAAAGTCAACAAACAGAACAGGGGGTGCGGGTTGAGGAGGTTAAGGTGAAGGAAGAGGTGCCGGTTCAGCAACATTCAGCGCCGGTTGCTGCTCAGCCCGAGATTCCCCCATCACCACCGGTATCCGAGGCCAAGGCGACTGCCGCTGCGCCAGAGTCTCAGAAGTCGGCACCCAAGCCATTCACTCCTGCGCCATGGGCAGACAGGAAACCCCTTCCGCAACCCAGCCCCTTCCCCAAGCCACCAAGAATCGGCGCCAAGAGCATAATACCGGGAATACCAGCCGACCTGGCAGCGCTCAAGGGCGGGGCCAATGTTGGAGAGGCCGATGTCGATCTCAGCAGCATTTTCATGACGGACAAGGGTTCCAAGATTTTGGAGGAGTTAAACAAGGAGCCTACGGTTCCCGCTGTTGAGGCCACCCCTAAGCCGGTTCCTGCCGTTGTTCCGGAACCTAAGACGACCGAGGTTGAGGTCAAGGCAGAGGAGGAAGTCCAGGTCACTCAGAAACCAGTAGAGCAGGAATCAGTCCAGGAGGCTGTTGAAGAGGTCGAACAGCCCAAAGTGGAAGAGAAGTCAACTCCGGTCCCGGAAACCCCGGCGAGCACGCCAGCTCCTCCCCCGGCTGCCGTAAAGGCTACACCACAAGAAACAAAGACAACCAACCTATCGCAAGAGGATGCAGACTTGGTTGCCGAGCTTACAGGGTCACCTCTCCCAGCCTCTACCCGCCATGAACTCCGCGAGTCCAAGGTGCCCGCCTCCCGCATCAGCAGACTCTGGAACTACGGCGGACTCGCCGCCGGCATGATGGCCGGCGCCATCGGCGAAGGTTTCAGCCGAGCCATCGGCGGCGGCAGCTCCGGTTCCGTCATGCTCAGCCCGGGCAACGTCGAGCGGCTGGTCTCCCGTCTTTCCCGCATGCGCGGCGCCGCCCTCAAGCTAGGCCAGATGATGTCGATCCAAGACTCCAAGATGCTCCCGCCGACGATCCAGGAGGTCTTCCAGCGGGTGCAGGACCGGGCCGACTACATGCCGGCCTGGCAGCGCGACCGGGTTCTGGTCTCCAACCTCGGCGCCGACTGGCGCTCCTTGTTTTCCGAGTTCGAAGAGAAACCCATCGCGGCCGCCTCCATCGGCCAGGTCCACCGCGCCACGCTCAAGTCCAACGGCGCCCGCGTCGCCGTCAAGATCCAGTTCCCCGGCGTCGCAGACTCCATCAACTCGGACCTCGACAACCTCGCCATCCTGCTGGCCGCCACCAAGCTTCTCCCAAAAGGCTTGTATCTGAACAAGACCATCGACAACGCGCGCACCGAGCTGGCGTGGGAGTGCGATTATCTGAGGGAAGCCGAGTGCGGCGCCCGTTATCGGGAACTCCTCGCCGCCGGCGGGCAAGAAGACAAGGTCTTCGCCGTCCCGCACATTTACCCGGAAGCCTCGGGCAAGCAAGTCCTCACCATGGAGTGGATGGACGGCGTGGGCGTCACGCGCGTCAAGGACTTTTCGCAGGAACATAAGGACTGGATCGGCACCCAGATCCTCCGGCTCTGCCTGCGCGAGATCACCGAGTTCAAGTTCATGCAGACGGATCCCAACTGGACCAATTTCTTGTACAACCCTGCCATGAACCGGCTGGAGCTGCTCGATTTCGGCGCTAGCCGAGAATACCCGGAGGAATTCATCTCGCTTTATGTCCGCCTCCTGGAGGCGGCTTCGCGGGGTGATCGCCCCGCGGTGAAATCCCTTTCGGAAGAGCTGGGGTATCTGACGGGCCATGAGAGTAGAGCCATGTTGGAGGCGCATATTACTAGTGTTGTTACGCTGGCTGAGCCGTTCCTGCAGAGTGCGCCCGAGGTGTATGACTTTAGGGATCAGACGATTACGGAGAGGGTGAAGGAGCAGATCCCCGTCATGATTCATGAACGGTTGGCGCCGCCGCCGGAGGAGACGTATAGTTTGCATAGGAAGCTCAGTGGGGCGTTTTTGTTGTGTGCGAGGTTGGGGAGTAGGGTCAGGTGTAGGGAGATGTTTGAGAAGGCGTTGGAGAAGACGGAGTATTTTGGGGGGAAGTAGGGAGTGAGTGAGGTGTATGATATATGTAGTGGGTGGGAGTTTGGTGGGGATAGATTTGGTGGGTTACCTTAGACAAGAGTTTCTAAAGTGTTTCTTTCTTCTTCCATGTATGTACATCTCGGCCACATGTTCCTTGTTAGAGGGAATCTACCGAGCACTATCACATCAAAAAGCATAGCCAGCACCTGTGGGGTGATTTGTACAATAGATAGATGTAAATATTACCATCCCCAAATTTTTGCAAGCCCTTTTTACCTGACCATGACATGTCCCAACAAGAATACATACCTCTTCGGAGGCCCCAGTAACCTTAAAATAACACCCCCGAGAAATCCACCCACCCTACCTACCCTTTACCTATCCTCAGCCGTCCGTCTCGCCAACGGCAACGCCTTCTTCTCCTTACCCGCAATCTTCTTCCTCTTGCGCTCAATCGCCTTATCGACCTGGCTCTTCTTCATGCTCGCAAACTGCTCCACAAGCAGCTGCTTCTTCTGCTCTGACTTCTTCAGGTAGAAGGGCGTCTTGCCCTGCTTGATGAGCTCCTTCTCCTTCTTCTTGTGCTCCGACAACAGCTCGCGCTCCTTATCCTTGCGGACGCGCGCCTTCTTCTTGCTCTCCATCGACAGCAGCGCCCGCTGCAGCTGCTCCTTTTCCTTGGCATCTTTCGTCTTCTTGATCGCCATCCGCAGCTGCTTCATCTCGTCCTCCTGGTAGTCGTCCAGGAACGAGTAGGCTTTGCGCGCCTTGATCTCGTCTACTACGCCCTTGCTGCCGCCGGAGCTGCCGCCACCGATTCCGGGCGGGGCGAAACGGGGGTCCCGCGATTTGGGCTTGGCGGGCTCGCTGTTGTTGGCGAGGAAGTCGCGACGCCGAGAGACGGGCTTTTTGGAGGTCATCTCGACGGGCGCGTGCTTGGAGGTCCGGTGGTGCTTCTCGGCTTTGGCTTTCATGCCCTTTTCGATCTCGGTCTTCCAGTTGGGCTCTTCTTTCTCTTCGTCGTCGGAGGACTCCTCGTCGCCACCCTTACTCTTCTTCTTTTTCTTCAGTGCGCCGAGAGAGGCCTGGGCTCGGGCGAGGGCACCGAATGAGAGTTGCGAGGCATCGATGCCGGCGCCGCCGTGCTCTGAGGGTGCATCGGACTCCTGTTATGGAGGTTAGTCAAAGGCCTGAACTTTTAGTTTCTTTTCAAGATTTCTTTCGATTTTTCTTACATCGTCACTGCCTGCTTCACTGCCCTCCTCGATCTCTTCATCCTCCTCCTCGGTGTCGCTGCCTGTGTGGAAGCCGCCACCCTCTTCCTCACTGGGGGCCTCATCTGAGCTCCCCTCCACATCCGAGTCGGGCTCGGCTTCAAATCTCGGGCGAACACGTCTCTGGAGCTTAGCACCCAGCGTAGGGGGAGCTTTCCGCTTAACCGCAGGCATTTTGTGCTCTTTTGTGGGTCGAAAATTTCGTCCTTTATAAGTTTTATCCTTCCTCTTCTTGCGGTGACAACTTTCGTCGTTATAGGTTTGATTTAATGTGGGGACAATGTCTTGACCGCGCGAACAACAGCGGGTGAATAAGAGGTATGAGTGAAGTCAAATGGAAATGTGTAGTTGGTTGTCGATTTGGCGTTTTGAGTTCTGCCGCCTGCAAGTGAAGCTACATAGCCCCACTTTTATGCCCGCGCACAAAATGTGATTGGCTAAAAATTTAACCAAAATTTACCCTTCTCTGAAAAGCATGAGGCCGCAAACGCAACATCACTGCTTAGAAAAGTGCAACCATCTCATTGAGCTACTTGGAGGTCGAGGAACACGGCTTATTGGATATTTATTATCGCAAATCCTCCCAAGAGCTGTGGCCTACAGCTGAACGCGAGCCGGGTCGACTCCAAGCCATTGGAGCCAAGTGGTCCGTAGCGGCACCTTTTACACCGGCCTCGCCTTTTCATCTCAAGAATGATGAACAAATTACGAATATTCAACACACCTGGTCGCTTCCGTCTCATACAGGGCTGTCGGCTGTTGCCTACCACGCCATTATCGCTTTACTTGCCTCAGAACAAAAATTTCAACGCAACCAAAACCTTCTTATCCAGCCAACCTTCGACGAGGTGCATTCACACGGCGAAAAACAGTTCCGAGGCGGATAAATTGTGCTCTGAGATTGGCATACAAAATCTGGCTGGGAAGGAAACAGCCAAAGCCAACGAGACATCATCACCAGGCCCCTCAGAACCGTCTCACCAGGCGACTGGAAAGCAGGACAGAGTGTCTTCCCCCAGACAGGGCGAAAGAGAGAACAAGAACGGGAACGGCAAGCAGGAGCAAAGGCAGGGTAAAAGGCAAGGCCAGCAGCAGGACAAACCTCAACAAACACGACAACAACAGCCCCAAGACCAGCTTCAAGCACAAGCACACCAAACAGGGGACCAAATGTATCCCAATCACTTCGGCTATCAGCCGGGTTACCCGCCGATATGGCAGGGGGGGTTTGTTGAACAACAACAGCAACAACAACAACAACAACAACAACAACAACAACAACAACAACAACAACAACAACAACAACAACAACAACAACAACAACAACAACACCAAAACCAACAGCGCTTTCCTCAATATGGCATGGGATATGGCATGGGATATGCGCCGCCCCCGGATGTCGGCTATGGCTTTGTCCCTCCTGTCCATCTCAACACCTTCGCCCCTGGAATGGCCATGCCAAATTGGCAACAACCTCCGCCGCCGTCCTATTCAGGAGCAAGACGAGGCTTCAACACCAACTCCAACAACACCCCCCAAGTTCCTCAGCCCCCTAATTTCTATCGCTCCAGGAGTCCCAGAGCCAACTCACGAGGAGGACAATACAACAACGGCAACGCCAACACCAATACCAATAATACTCGCCCCGGACCAGACTTTTATCGCCCCAGGAGTCCCGGACCCTACTCACGAGGAAGACAATACAACAACGACAACACCTACGCCAACAATACTCACCCAGACTTTCATCGCTCCAGGAGCCCCGGACCCTACTCACGCCAGTACAACAACAATAACATCAACAATCATAGTCATCAACAGCAAATACCGCCCACCTCCAACAAACTCTCCAACCCCCCCAAGCTCAACAAGAAGGCCAAAGCCCGCGAAGCAGCAGCCCGCGAAGCATTAGCCCAAGCCCAAGCCCAACGCTCCTCCAAGATGCCCCCCTCCTCCTCCTCATTCTCATCCTCTTTCATCCCGCGAGGCCCGCGAGGAGACATCCCGCGAGAAGCCAGCGACCCCATCGTCCCTCCCTCGCGCGCCTCAGGCGGCGTCCCCAAGCCGAGCCAGGCCTACAAAATGCGGGCCTCCTTCCTCGCTCGCTCGGTGCCCGGCTCGGAGCCGCGTCCGATGCTGGTAGTGATCGACCTGAACGGCACACTGTTGCACCGGCCGAGCCGCAAGCGGCCGTCGAAGTTCGTCGAGCGGCCGTTTGCCAAGGACTTTTTGCAATACTGCATCGACACGTTCAAGGTGGTGATCTGGTCTAGCGCGCGGCCGGAGAACGTGGGGCTGATGTGCAAGCAGCTGTTGACGCAGGAGCAGTTGGGCAAGGTGGTGGCGATCTGGGGACGGGACAAGTTCGGGCTGACGCCGGCGGACTATAATGCGCGGGTGCAGTGCTACAAGCGGTTGACGATGCTGTGGGAGGATCCGACGGTGGGGGCGTCGAACCCGGAGGGAGAGCCGTGGAATCAGGGCAATACGGTGCTGATTGATGATAGTGCGGAGAAGGCGAGGAGCGAGCCGTATAACTGCATTACGCTGCCCGAGTTTCTGGGGAATTTGGACGAGAAGCCGGAGGTGCTGCCGATGGTGCGCGAGTATCTTAACATTCTAGCCCACCAGGCGGACATCAGCACTTATATCCGGGTGAAGCCGTTCGATATCAACGTGGATAGCAGCAAGGCTGTAACTGGAGACGAGGGCGTTGCTCTCGCTTCTCCTCCAGCTGCGGCTCAAGCGGAAGGTTCAGGATAGAGAATCAGGAATAATGAAATGGGAGTTGTTGGTTGGACAAGATGAAATCCATGATGATAGCCGATAGACTTGTTACAGTGGATACAACTATGACATGTGGATAGTTTTCAAGGAACATGCACGGTTCACCTCACTTCGTTTTGCATTTGCAGGAAGGGAATAGGCAATTGGCCATGAAAACAACTTTTATCAGAGATTTCGACAGGCTACTAGCATCTACTGAAGACTCATTCATCGGCGACGACTATCCATCAGCGAGCGATACACATGAGCTCATGAGGAAAGGGGCAAAAATGGTTTGTCCATATAAACCCATCAATATTTGTTCATCAAGTCATCATAAAACGCCGTAGGCTAGTAGTAAACTCCCGTTGGTATAACCTCCTTCCTTAAATTAATTCGTTCGTGGTATCGTTTATTTGAAGACCTTGCCGGAGGCGTGGGGGTACTCCTTGCCGTTGACAAGGGCGGGCTTGTCCCAGGACCACTCAGCCTCGACGAAAGCGCGATCCTCAGGGTTCTGGGGGTCGAGCTTGGTGAACTCGTAGCTCTCGTAGTCGGGAGCGACGTCGAAGACGGGCTTCCAGTCATCGCCACGAATGACGAAGGCACCCTGGATGACGGAGTCGTTGTTGGTGCCATAGACGGAGGCGCAGCCGAAGAGGTACTTGCGAGAACCCTCAAGACGGTTGTTGAAGCCACCAATCAAGTTGTTAGACATGAAGGTGAGGGTGAGCTCATCGTTGTACTTGTAGTTGACCTTCCAGATGGAGTACTCAGTGAAGGGGACGTTCTCCCAGAACCACTTGAGAGCCTCGGGGGTGTCAACGTTGGAGTACTGACGCTTCCACTCATCGAGGGGGAAAGAAGCACGGGGAAGAGCCTCAAGGGGGTGCTTGGGCTTGGGGGCCTCAGCGGGCTCCTCAGCGGCAGCGGCGGGAGCAGCAGCGGGCTTAGGGGCGGCAGCGGGCTTGGGAGCCTCAGCCTTCTTGGGGGCGACGTTGGTCAACTTGGGGGTATCGATGAGAGTGAAGGGAGGAGCAACGGCCGAGTAGATAGGCTGGTTGTAGACAGTCTCGTACCAACGGCTGAAGTTGGGATACTCGGCGCGCCAGGCCTTGTCGAAGAAGTACTCGAAGCCGCGGGAAACGATGCCAGTGGCGAAGAGATCGGCAAGAGTGATGCGCTCGCCAACAAGGAAGGTGTTGTTCTTGAGGTGGGCCTCAACAACAGAGATGACCTTGAGGGTAGCCGCCTGAGCGTCCTCAACAGCCTTCTTGTTGTAGGGGGCCTTGCCAACGAGAGGGCGGAACCAGGCAGCAAGGTTGGAAAGGACCTCGGTGTTGAAGAAAGAGAGCCACTTCAGGATGGAGGCATAGCTGGGAAACGAGTTAGCAACTGGTTGGGTACATTTCGGCGTAAATGATTGTGAGCTTACTCCTGCTTGGTCTTGCCGAGGAGAGTGGTCTTCTCGTTCTGGGAAGCAACTGTTGTCCGTTAGCCATGACTGTCCAGCAAGATACATGGCAATTGAAAGAGGACAAAGAGTGAGTTCGACAATCAGAAGTTAGAACCAAGTCAACACCGTATTTCAGATAGGGATAACTGTTTGAAAAATGTCTCGGTCATCAGGTCGAAGGGGAAAGGGGTTGTGCACTAGCACATCACCAGAGGATATCTGGCGCAAAGTGTGTGCGTGTTTCAAAGTGCGGGGCAGGGCAGTCTTGCTTGACGCCCAACACATTCTGTCAACGTACCATAGATGGCGATGGCAATGCACTCGAAAAGAGTGTAGCCGTCGGCGCCAACGAAGGTAGGGACCTTGCCGAGAGGGTTGATCTTCTTGTACTCCTCGGTGATGTTCTCGAGGTCGACCTTGACAATCTCCAGGTCGAGGTTGTTGGCCTTCGCGACGGCCAAGATGGCCGTGGAGCGGGGGTTCGCCTGTTGAGCAGAATCTGTTAGAATGTCGGCGCTCGTCCGCAGGCGCCCGCCGTGTCAAGACGAGCGCCGCAATCTGTTAATTCTGCTCATCTTACCTCGTAGGTGTAAAGCTTTCCGAAGGCCATCTTTGATAATTGATCAATGATGAGGAAAGATGGGTTTGGGGGAAGAGGAGGGGTGACGGGGAAGCAAATAAAAGGGATCGGTGCGATGGGAAGACGGGACACAAGAGGAAATTTTATCTGTGGTGGGGCATGCGGCCAGTGGCGGGGAAATTCCCTTGGCTGCTCAGCCTGCATCCCGTTCTGGCAGCTGCGTTGCTTCCCCTCACGTCCCGGTCAGAACCTCGCAGCGCTGGAACTCGACAGAATGCATGAGAGCTCAGTAACCGCCCGCCGGCCCGTTGGCGGCTGTGGAAGGCTGCTAGGACGGGATTCCATTGAGATGGTCTGCTTGTGTTTCGGCCAGTCTGTGCTTTCAGTTCCCTCGTGCCAGGCTTTGTTGGCTGCCAGGCTTCCAGGGAAAAAAGGTGCCGCTTGATTGCCGGGCGTCTTATGTTCTTATCTGGCTGCCTGCCGGGCGGAATGGTCCCCTGCATCGGCAGGGGTCGCGTGGAGGGGAAGGTGAGGTGAGGTGCAGGTGAGTGCCGAGTGGGAAGCATGGGTGGTCCGAGCTCCCATTTCCGGTTGCCGGTGTGGAAAAATCCTCTTGCGAATTGTTCCGCCGCGGGACGGCCCACGACGCGCAGACGGGACCGGAGCCGGACCTGATTGTGACCACTGCCCGCACTGGACCTGCCCTCGTCTCCGACAGCCCCCAAGATACCCATCGGCGAGCCGACCGCACCTCGACCCCCGATCCCACTCCTCTCCCGATCCAGTAGCCCCCGGGGCCCGATAATGTACGAGAGGTGTTGAATGATGGCATCTCTTAGACACAGCATTACCAACGCTCTTCGGAGCTCCCGCCAGGGCTGCTCCAAGTCGGCGCAATGGCAGTCGCTTGACCAGCAATTCGGCGCTTTGCGCATCAGCTCCCTTGCGCCTTCCGGCTCGAGGTCCCTGTCCACCACCGCCAACGAACACAACCCGAACGTAGATGGCCAATTCATCGCCGCCCCTGCGCTCAGCATAGACAACTTCAAACTCCATCCCAATGCCCGTGCCGTCCCCGTGTCGCCCTCGTACTTCACCCGGACGCCCCGGTTCTACGACAACTATCTCTCCCTAGAAAAGCTCATGGAGGAGTACGAAGACCTTCCTGTCATCCCCGCGACCGCCGTCGAGCGCGTGGCCTGGAAGACGCTCGAGGATATCAGGAAAGAGCTCGGCGAGCAGGTCAAGGCATCCGAGTTCGCAAGGTGTCTGGCTCTCGTCAAGCGGCTCAACTCAATCCACCCCGACCTCAAGCCACAAGAGATCAAGGACGTGCTCGACAGCTTCAGGCGCAACGTGCAACCCTTCACAAACGTCGCCAAGCCGATCCCGATCGACCAGTTTGGCCGCGCCTGCGGAGTCGGCAAGAGAAAGGCCTCGAGTGCTCGGGCGTTCGTGGTGGAGGGTACCGGCGAGGTTCTGGTCAACGGCAAGACCCTGGCCGACTACTTTGGGCGGGTTCACGACCGCGAGAGCGCTGTCTGGGCTTTGCGCGCGACAAATCGCATCGACAAGTACAACGTCTGGATCAAGGTGGAGGGTGGTGGTACCACGGGTCAGGCGGAGGCCATTACGCTGGCTATCGCCAAGGCCTTGCTGGCTCATGAGCCTGCTCTGAAGCCGGCATTAAGAAGGGGTAAGCTTCGCACCACTACATCACACACGTCTTGGCTTTCTATGATTATGCCTCGCCATACGGGCTTTCGCGGTATGGTAGGTAGGGATGATGCACCTTTGCTAACGAATCCCTCTTTTCTCTTGCTATAGCCGGATGTGTCACACGCGACCCGAGGAAGGTCGAAAGAAAGAAGCACGGCCATGTCAAGGCCAGAAAGATGCCTACCTGGGTCAAGAGATAGTCGCCCTACTGCTACGTTTTGTGGTATCATTGGGTGGGTGTTATTGTTGGAGGCATTATGGACATGCTGCCTCACTTTCGGTTTTTGCATGAACGACCGGTCAAATGGAGCGATGCTTTTTCCCCGCCAGCGCAGCGTCAAAGCTCCCTTTCCTTCTGGGAAGCATTTTCTCTCATGTGCGTACTCTATATGTGGATATGCGTGTGAGTGTCCGTCTCGCTTGTGGTCTCGCTTGGGCCTACCAAGTTCAGCACAGGTCGGTTCCAGGCAAGAACGTGTGTACTTGTACTTGGAGGTGGTGAACAAACCGTGTCTGGGGGGCCGACACGACTTTGTTGTGTGTATGTGTATAATACAGTTTATGTGTGTGCCGGGGGGGGGGGGGGGGGTGGAAGGGTTATTTTGCTATGGAAAAAGGTATGCAAACCGATTCGACGCCCGGCCTCTTCAACCGGCTTCACTGCAACTTTGATATGGGTTTTCTTGTTTGTGATGGGTTGACTGATTCGTACGACAACAAGGCATGAACCATCCGGGGGTTACATCCAATGTTTAAGAGGCATGGCCACTCCCATCTCACAGATTAGGCGGGAACGACACGATTGCAAGGGCACATGTTGGTTAACCGCGCTGTCAGAACCACGTTTTCTGAAATCCAGATTCCGTTCCCGTGGCGGCAAAGGGCAATCCGTGTAAAGTGTCCTCGGCCGAGGGCCCTGGGGAGTGTAAGGATCCTATGCGATGGTGTATGGTAACCATGGCATGCATTATTGTTGTCCCAAGTCCCGCAATTCTCCTTGTCTTTGTCCGCAATGAGGTTGGAAATAGTCAGAGGGTCCAGACCGGTGTTCTTGTCTGCCTCCAGATTTGAGTAGTCTAGTATAGGTGGTTGAGAGCATGCTCCCTTAAAATCCGTATTTTCCATGGCAGAATGTGATTGATGCTTGACGCAAGCACTGGATAGACTTCTGTCGGGGAAGTCCTTTCTGTCCTTTCGGATTCGTTCGTCCAGTGCTCCAAAGACTGCAGTCCCGTTTTGTCTGATGTTGGGTGTCTTGGGCGCTACTCGATCGTGTTCATACATAATGTTTGTTATTAAGGGGCAGCGCAATATTCCTGCAATGGGACGGGATACGTTGAGGATGAAGTCGTCAACAATACGGTTCGCAGACACTTGGCTGTGGTGGTTTATTGGGTGGTTTTCAAGGACGAACATGCTTCTAGAAGCTGTTTCGAAGCTGGATGTGACATTTGATGTCTTTTGATCTCAGCTTATCCAGGACTCTTGATTCTTGGATAATTTTGTCTTTGAACACACAACCGAAGAGTTTCTCTTCTTCTTTATCAATGCGGTATTCGGGATCGCATTTTAGCGTGTTTGATGACAGGTTTAGAGAGGGAAGGAACAATGCATGAGCTGGCCTGTGTCATTCAGATTATGCAGTATGATCGCTTGAACTTCTGCGAAAGGGCATGATCATGATAATGATCCAAGGAGAGGTGGATGGCGTAAAAACAATGGACCTAGATAGCTACACTACTAGTGCCAACGGTATGAGCCACGTAGTGGCTTGATTGCGACAGGTCACAACTAGCTGATATGAGCGGAAACATCATGATTGTCAATGATAAGTGAAGTGGAAAAGACGGAATTTGGTGATGCCTTCTCGTAGAGGTCATTGGCGCAACAAATACGAACACTATCCGGATTTCCCAACGGTTATGGAGTTTGGAGGAGTTTATCGGTTTCAGCTGGTCATGGTTATCGCCATGGTTCGAATTCGGCCGCTCCGTTCGAGGATCGACAATGGCGTTCGTACATACTTGTACCGTAAGCATAATTCGATCGGTATTTCGTTTGCCGTGCCCGTGAATCCACAAATCCGAATCCGTAGAGGTAATTAGCAAAAACTCGATTTTCCAAAGCCCGGTTGAGCTGTCGAGTAGTTGTCAACCGGAGATTCCCCGAGTACATTTGGCAACGGAGATTCCGAGATTTGCTAAACTTTCTCCGAAGAGTTTCAACCCAAGATCTGCGAAAGCTGCTGTATCTTGAACATTGGGCCGTCATTCAAGCAGGCTTGTTGTGTTGGCATGCCAGCAACGCACGCTGCAAGCCGGATGAAGCTAGGCATCTGATTGCGAGTCCGCGGCGCAGAAGACATCTCCGGGAACAACGAAAACATGACTCAAAGCAAAGTCGGAGCCAAACACAACATCGCGACCAACGGAGGATGTCCAGCGTCGCTAGATCGGATGGCCTCTGGTAGGACTCGGCGGCGGCGATCGAGTCGACAATGTCCTCGGGCGGCGATGTACGCCGACGTATTGGTAGGTAATCCCACATGAACTCAAAGCTGTGCGCCAAAGCTTCGTTTCGTTTCTCAACGGCCGAACCTGACCGACCCCTGAAATCTCTTCGCATGCACCCAAGACACGACGAGGCCAATTGCGCAGCAGAGAAAGGTTGAATTGCAGGCCTGTTGCAGCATGTACGCGTGGACGACTAGCAATGAAAAAGAGATGGGTTTCTGAAAGACAAAATGACAGACAGAACCTTGATGTCGAGGTCATCCACGCCAGGGCAGCAACAGAAAGCCCATCTCTTGAATGAAGCACCGACGGAAGGAAACTGAAAGGATCGAAGGAAAAATAAAGGTAACCTCGCTCGGCTTTCGAGCTTTCAGCCAATCATATTGCAAAGATGGCTGATCGTGACACGACTTTGGCGTGTACAGTACACGGTCCGTACGAGAACGAGGAAAGAGGTACCGGTACAGTACCGTTGCCCAGCTAATCCATGGGCCCAGCGCCGCAACCCCGCCGCCATGTGCGCAAGCTCGATGGAGCACGCAAAGCTCAGCTAGCATCGAGGTACCGGTACGAGCTATTCTCGGTTAGTGGTCCCAGACGGGCCCAAGACGGTCCCAAGGAAAACGACGGGCACCGCGTCTGATTTGCCCTTGTGTCGAATTCTGGAGCAATCGAACGAAGCGCCTTGTCGATACGACTCCAAAACAACGCAACGAGGACGCAACCCACCACAAGGATCCGACAGGGATTTACCTCGCAGCAGGCCGGCAGAGCTGGGGCTCCGTTTGACGACATCCTTCGACGCCAGTGGATGCCGAGCAGACGCCCCCCTGGCTCGCGATGTTTTTAACTCGACGACATGGATCCCCCATCCTCACGCGCAATCCTTCATCAGAACAGATACACCAGTGGTACAACCAGCCTGCAGCAAGCGCCGTACCGGTACCTCTCCCTACCTGCCGCTCTGGTGCCCTCGATACACCCAAAGCTGCCCACCGCTGTCCACCGTCCGCCGTCCACCGCCATAGTGGAGGTTCCAAGCATTATCCCATGCCAACCATCGTGGCCCAGGGCATCATCTGCACTGCCGTTTCGTTGACGCCGCCGTCTATGCCGCAGCTGCTGCAGGCAAGCATGCCTGGCATCAAACTTGGTCGTGGAACAAATTTTCCAATCCAAACGTTCGGTCGGTGGGGTTGGTGGCTACAGAGCGAGCGGGATCTGGGCGACCTGAGTCTGGATCGAGGGTCGTTACCACAGGATCGGCTGTTGGTGGGAGGACAAGTCAGACTCGGAAGCACCGTGGGCTGGAGTATTGGAATGACAGAATGGCCATCACTGTCGACCCCGTGAAATCGATATTGGTCCATATTTCCAGTTACCGCCGCCGCCGCCGCCGCTCCTTGGTTGCTCCTGTGCTCCTGCTGCCTCGGTGAGTGCCGGGCGGTTGCCGACCAGCTGGAGCCGAATCGGAAGTCCTATGGCCTCAGGTTGTCTTCCCACTTCCCTTTGGAGTATCGTGGATGGCCAATAATGAGGCCCGGATGGCATCGACCTTTCACCCGGAGCCAGTGTGCTGTTTCTGATTCGCGACCCTTGTCAGTCCGAAAAGAATTGCTTTTCCAGACCAGTGGCGGCTGGCACTGAAACATACCCTTTCCCTCTGGTCCTAACTTGCGGCCCCGGGAACCTGTAGCATGACCCCGAACCAAGCATGGCCGACATGGTACCAAGGGACATGATGAGGTTGTCTCAAAGATTCAAACAGAGGGCGGAATTTTGTGGGAGCGAACATTGACGAAGCACAAGCCCCCCGCGTACCTGCACACGAGCTCGCGCCACCAGCCCGACCTCACTGGCCGCAGAGCGATAGGCAGGTAATGGCAGCCATCTCCTGCAAGGCGTTACGCAGGAAATGCATGGTGCTGCCGAGGTGTTCGTTCGTTAGTTCACGCTACGCACTACTAGTGTACCTGGGGATAGGTCCTCAATACCTGGTTGTACCTCCTTATGTCCGGGCACAACCTTGAAGCAACGACGATGACGGCGGATAGCGGACAGCGGACACCACACACGGAGCCAGGTCGCCGAACCAGAAACCAATTAGCAGGACGATGGTCATCTACGAACGAACCAGGTCCGAGCCAAACGGCTCGAACCGCTCAAAGGTGACCAGTTCGTTTGATCATTACATGGCAATACGCAGCATCGGGAAGCTGGGACGGGATGGTCGGGTAACAAAGGTTCCAGGGAACAGCATGCAAATCACAGAGTACCTTACAGGTACAAGTGAACGTATAGGTTCCCTGTCTTGCTTGGATCCCTCTTCTTGTCATGAACCAGAAGCTTGTCAGTGGCCTGGAATAGCTCGCTCACAGAATGGTTCGTCTGGTTAATTCCGATCAAAGTGACAGCTGCCACGCACCAATTCCACCACAACCCTACCTACAGGCTACATAACACCTTAACTAGCACACTAGGCAGGGACATGTATGGACGGATGCGATTTACTGGTACTGCAACCACAGCATTGCAGTTTACTTGGCTCTGTTTATGCTAAGCACAACTGGGTCAGACACACAGGACACGACACAGGGCATCCATGTCAGATCAGCGATCGACCTCCCCTTCCTGCCCTGTGCCTCTACCTGCCCTGCTACCCGGACTGGTTCCTGCCGTTCGAACAGAATTCAACGCTTGTCTCCTTCCGGATCTGGCACTGACATCCAGAGCTTCCGTTCCCGTTGGGTAGGCGCATTGCAGACCTTAACGGACACTGCATACTTGCCATGTACCTCAAACGAACCTGCCTAATGTCAGTGTCAACTGGACGTGATGATTTTTTTTTCCAACCTCAGACAAGCTTCGACCTTTGCTTCTCCCGAAGTTTACTTGCACTATTGCACGTCGTCTTGATCCGAACTGATATGTTTCCTTCACCGGATCATAGGTGTCATCCCTGATACCAGTTTCTTCATCTCGCGCTAGAGGTACCATACCCGATACGGCTCTCTCAGCTCGAATGTCTTCCCCTAGGCTCGTCGGCCTACCCAACCACGTACAACATCCTTACCTCTGGCGGTACACCAAGGCCAGCATTTCATCCCACCGGTTCCACCGGGCCCTTGCACATTCAACCTTCATCTGTCATTTTATTTTTTTCCAAATCCATACCAAGCCCGGCTTCCACTGCCCTCCGAAGATAGGACACCGCCTGAAGGTGACTGGTGAGCACGATCCTGTCAGGGTGATTTTTCGGACGACGTCAACGGTGTGGCAGCCCCCTTACCTCACCAATTTAATACCCGATAGTCAGGGAAAGCTCGAGCCGTCAAGTGTCGTAGAAAGAAGAGGCAGTCGAGGTGGTAAAGGAAAGAAAAAAAGAAACGAAACCGAGAGCAACGGAAGCGGGCTTCCGCAACTCACCTGCCCTAGGCCCAGCTACAACACCACCATCATCATCATCAATTTTGGATAGAAACTGTCAGCGGTGTTGGTGTTAAGCAGAACACAGGGTGGCTCTGATTGACTTTCTCAGTCACCACCCTGACACTTGTGTGTGAGATAAAACGAAAATGAGATAGGAGCTGAGAAGAGAATGCGGCGGTCGAGTCACAGTCCAGCATCGGGTTTCTCTCTAAGCAACATTACCACCGGCGTCCCCTCTTGGCATCAGCAACATCGTCCTTTGGCAATACTCCTCGGTTGAAGGATTGTCAGTCGGGAGTGTAAATCGGCCCTGCTGGAGTTTTACTTTTTCCTCTCCGCGTGTTCGCCGTCATCGTCACAAGGCTATCGCCAGCGTCGATATCAAGTATCCAAGTGGCCGTGTGGTCGAGCATGGGTGGAAATTGGAGGAATCAGCTCGACGGCTAATACCCTCACGACTAATAATACGCGACTACGTTCGGCGGCACCGCTGGGCATCCACCAAGGCCTCGACGCACCCCAGCAAGTGGGAGACCCCCAGCACAGCACACCCATCGCGACGTCACGTCCCCAGACCAGCAGACCAGGCCCCAGGGCTACGTACCCTTTTCCTCGTAGACGGTCGGAGCTCGTCGAACGCCACGTACTATCAGCCTGGGGTTCAGCCTCCCGTCTTCACAGATCCACAATCACGATTCCCACTGTCGGAGAGCCATCCGGCGCTGGTCGCGAAGGGGTCCTCTTTAAAGCCGGGCCTCTTTGGGGTTGTTGCAGATCTCCCCGCCCTACCTGAGGAAGCTGGGCCCTACCCAGGCCCTACCTGGGGTTGCAGCCGTCTCCCGACATCACACTACAGTATTTTACCTTACTTCCGTCTACCGACACCCTCTCTTTCCCGTATGTCTTGGCCAAGAGCCGAACATCCACCTCCTGGCACAGACACCCCCAGGTACGTAGCCCGGCCACCAACCATCAAAGCGCTCGATCGGGGTGGAGCTTTTATCACTTTCCTGCTTCTTATCCTCTTCACTCACTCGCCACGACTAATAAGAAATTTCTTTGCCTTGACTGTAGCCAGTCCGTATATCAATCTCGGCCATCACCCTTAAGACAGCGTCAAACTGTCCTCAGTCAACCAACATCAACTGTTCTTGACTTTGGCACAGTTTTCTGTCACCATCCCGGTAGTCTCAAGAGACATCTTTGTCTCTCAAGAGTGCGTTCGAATATTTTCACCCGACCAGGCCGCAAATCAGCTCCGGCCGTGCCGTGCTTCAACCGTCAAAGCTGTCAAAACAAAGTTGTGCTCGGTCTTTTCGTATCGAGTCCCACTTCCCCAACCTCGCTCGAGCCGTCTCGCCGCTGTCGCCAGTGGTTAAGCTACTTAAGTAAGCGTCCGTCTCGTACGAGACTAACCCCCGCTCGGCGCGCTGCCGCAGTCAACGAGAGCCCTGCTTCCGTCTGCCTATCATTCTTGGACGGTCGAGAAGTACGTTCTGTCACGTTCCAGGCCCGACCGCTTCACAACGTCCGTTTTGCCCTACCAACCTGTACCATAACCGGGCTAACATAGAGGCGAAGGTCTCAGCTCTCAGTGAAGCAGGTGTACGGGATCACCCTGCAGCCCGTCTGCTCCTTCGACGCGGTCTTTGAGGACTGTGGTGCGTCAGGTTGATCGCAGAAAAACCCGTGTGCCAACGCCTCGACACCAAGACATCTGGGATCTTCCTAGTTGATGACAAGTCACCCGCTTTGCCCACTCTTCCCGCCATCACTGTTCACAAGCCTATTCGTCAAGAACTCTTCACCGTGACCGAGTTCACCATCCCCACTTTCGGAGCGCAGAGTTCACACGCGCTCCTTAGCGCTAGCTCGAGTCTTTCCTGCGGGAGGTGCCACTCGCCGAAGACCATATTCAACAGCGAAATCTTCTCTTCAGGTCTTTTTCGCATCCGCCGTTGTCTTTGGGCAAAGTTCACTCGGCCATTCAAAGAACGCAGCGCGATTAAAAGACGCTGCTATCGGAACTGCCCCCACGGCCAACCTCGGGCTGATCTTCCGGTAGCACAAGAAACTCGTGTCAGAGGGTTTTAGATCCTGTTACATCCCTCCGACACCTCCGGGGCCACTATCTATTAGCCCCCGAGCGATCGCGAAAATTGTTGCGCCTGGTATTTTTCGGTCCGCTTCGACAAGCCAACTCGAAAACCAAGCCTGGACCTTTGGCGTCGAAGCCCTATCGAAGCCGATTGTTGTGTGGCCGAAGCGCCGACCACCTCGCCTCTTCCTGAGAACGGCCCAGCTCCACTCTCAGCTGGACACCCGGTGAACACGCCGTCCAAAGCGCTCGATCGAACCCCACGAGCTTTCGGCATCATGGAGGACAACAGAGGCCCGAGGAGGCAGAATGAGCCGCCCATTCATGGCGCGTCCAACCCGCGATACCACCAGTCGCTGCATGACTCGACGCAGCAGCGGCGGTCTTTTGCTGGTGCGCAGGGGGGTAGGTACCGGGCTGCACCTCTTACCTCTTCACCATCAGGAGCGGCCAGAGGAATGAGCGGTTCGGCTGGCTACAGCGGTTATTATCAAGAGCCATCCGCGGCGGGATTTCCTACGACTGCCATGCCTCAGGGCGCGATGAGTTATCACCACGGACCGTCTGACTACGGCCAGCCTGATACACGACAAACTCAAGGCTTCGCCAGCACCTACAACCCAAATGCTCTGATGTATAACGTACCCCAAGGCGCCGGGCCACAGAGCACCACGGTATACGACACAAGCCAGCAGTTCCCTCAACGGCAACCGGCAACACTGCAAATGATGGCAACTGATGTCACTGCCCCGTATTTTTCGAGCGAGCCAACAAACACGGCGGCAGCAACCGCTTTGCAGGCGCAAACGGGACCTTCCAGCGCACAGGTGTATGGGCAATCTAACATGCCAAGTTACTCGTCTGGTGGGATGACTGGTATGGGAGGTATGAATGCGCAGGCTACCTCAACCTCCGACGTCAGGATGGAGGACGATTATCCGGCGGGAGGAACCCTGGATCACGCTTACGCATCCTATCAAACAGCATTGAAGGAGATATTCCAAAACATACAGAACGGTGTTCTGGCCACGGCTAGTGATTCGCTCATTCGCGTCTCGGACTGGCTCTTGTCGCATGTGGCAGACTTGGGTAAGTCGAGGCGCTTCCAGCGTGTCCGAATTCAGGCAATGATTGGCATACTAACATTATAATTATTGATAGGACTCACCTCAGACGACCAGAGTTTACACGGTGACAGAATCAAGCTGTGGAACGATTTCAATCACGCTTGGTTGGGTATTCTTCAGCGCCAGAAAGAAATGACAGAATCTGGCCAGCAACCACAGCGCTCGCAGAGCGTAATCTCGGAAGAAGGATTGAAAAAGATGGGGAAGGAGCTTATCAGATTGTGCGACTCGATTGAGCGCCATGGTCTCGTTGACTATCAATATGGCGTCTGGGAGGAACAGATCATTGAAAGTAAGTCACACCTACCGCTGAGACACTTGACAACTGAACAACTTTGCTAATTTGGGTATAGTCCTGACGGAGTGCTTGAACATCTACGAACCAACGGAGTCATCCGGGGACGATGGCGCCGCCCCTGATTCACAGCGCCGATGAAGAAAGTCTTATGACTCTTGATTCACGTTCTGTCGAATCCGGTCATCGGAAGGCGAACATTTTGACTCGACATGGCCTTTTCTTTTTGGAAAGCATTGCTATCTCTTCTGGATATCAGGCGACACCAATTGTAATGCTGTGTTGGTTTTTCCTTTTTCAAGTGTCTCGTGCTCCAGCGCAAGGAGTTGGGAAGTTGCTTTTGGCCCCAAGACCCGGAGTTGGTTGGACGTTGTGTGTATAATTGGTGTGGCTTACGTATCAAGGCATATTTCTCCCCAACTCGGTCCGGCGTTCAAAAGAAAAAAAACACAAGGGATAGGGTGTTTTCTTGCTTTTGCACTAGATCATGGGAGGTTTTACGGTTTGGATGATATGGGCGCATACTACGGGTGAGAAGGGACTGGGAGCCTTGTGTGATGACCTACGACGGGTGGCGGGGGAGGCTTACATGATTGAAGGCATGTTTCATCCAGAGAAACCCAAGGGTATGGTCTTGACACATTCCTCCCATATTCGGTAGGGTGGATGACCGGAGACACGGCGGTTGAGTGGATGGAGTTATTGGGGAACGCACCACGAGGTTGAGGACAAACATGGGAAAGTGCGAGCTTAGCTGGACACCGAGTTTTGGGGATCAGGACAACAAGAACACCAACCTATACAGCTAGCTCGCCTGGGCTCAACCCCAACTCCCAGTCCAGCATCAACGCCGGTCTGCTTTGACATGGCATTCCTCCGAGCAGCTTGTACATAGCTCGAATTTGCGGGCTTGGCGCTATTAGGCGATACCCCCCGTCGATGATTCATGTATATAAATGCTATGGAGGGTACATTATTGGACGTTCAATGGGAAAAAGAAAGGAGTTGGGATCTAACAAAAACTCGCGGCTGATTGGCATCATTTCCCTTTCCCATTACCCATTTTTCCACCATTTCTTTTCATCATCAAAGTCGGCGATACAGTGCTCGTACCTTGTCTTTCAGCTAGCGAGAGAAGTGCATCTCCCGGTTACCTCGTGAGTGCGGTGGGAATTCCGCGCGACGGAGAAAGCTTCATTCACGATCGAGAGAATTTATTTCTTACACCCCCTGATGCCACGATCCAATGACGGGGCAGCATGGGTTCAGGGGCTTGTGGGTGGGCGGACAAGGGCCTTAGCTGACCCGGTCTGTTGGGTCGACAGATACATTTCTAGCTGAAGACTGGTATGTACATCTTTGAGGAACCTGGCACTTGGTGTTTTCACCATTTTTCGTCAAAGCTGGCAGCTTAACGGTGGTAAACTCTTGACCGCTGCGTAGCACAGTGTAATAAACCCCAGATATCGTATGGGATTGCGTTAATTACGATCACGTCCTTACGTAATAACCGTGGCTCTTAACATGGCAGGTGCTTTGTTGACATTTCCTGCGGAGTCGGTGTGGTGTGTGTGCGTGTCACGCCCGTGGACGACTTGTGCCTGCCAAACATGATGATGACGGCGTCGGCATTTTGACGTTACCAGCCCCAACACTCCCCTATAAAGAAGCGCTAAAAACAGTTGATTGAGGCAGGTTGCAGAACGCAAATCGTCCATGTACAGCTACATCGACAACAGTTGGCTTGACACGCGCCCCTAGTCCAGGCTAGGTATCCGTCCACTACTGCAAGACATCGCACATTCACATCACGCAGCACGCTAGAACTCCCCTCTCCGCCCATCCTCTTCCCGACAGGCGGGCGGTCGCATTGGGCATGTCGATGTGCACCAGATAGCCGACGTAACACGATCCCCCAAACCCCTCGACCAACTTCTCGGTTTCCCACGCAACTGTATCCCATAAGACAAGATCGCCAAAGCTACGAGAGCGCCGCTACAGCACTGTGCCACAACCCCGGGTGGAAGAAGCATGCATACCGGTCGTGATCCTCGATTCACCCTATCTTCGTACCATCACCAAAAGACCCAAACAGCCAGCAGGATGACTGGAGGACCGGGAGGGATATGGGGAGGAGCAGGGCGGTGGCCACAACAACAACGGGCAATGATGACGAAGCTGTGTGCTACCACGAACGGATGGCTGCAGAAAGTAGTTCAGCCCAACCACCCCTACCCAACAGGAGGTTGAATGCCATCACAGAAAACCACCCACTCCCAACAATGCGGTCGACGGTGGGCAGTACGTGTACGGGGCGTGCAGCTACGGGGTCACGGTACACGTATTTTACAAGAACGGAGCCCGGAGGAGTTCGTTTCGTTGCCCCTGGTTGGAACGGGAACTTGGCTTTCGGACCCTGGATCGCTGGATCTCGAGGCGCTACCACGATGGGACCAGACCGGGGGGAAGACACACGATGCCCAGTACACGTAACTCACCAGTCGATGGGGCCCCATCTTGATGCTGCAAGGCTGCTTTGCGTACCCACAGAAGGACAACAAAAGGAAGCAAAAGGGCCGGCCGAGATCTCTATGATCTCCAGCTACTAGACCAGGCCTCTGGCAGATGAAGCGGCTGTTGGCGGGCACGCCGTCACAGGCCGAAGCGGGACTGGGTCGCATGTACGGTGCCTACACACCCGGCAAGCCCCCCTAGGAGGTCGCGGTACATATGCCATCTCTCTCTCTATGTACCGTATTCAGGTGGAGATGGCTGACGCCGCGCAGCAGAGAAAACGGAGCTTTCCAAGTTGAAGGGTCTCGTGGAGAATGTGGAGAGGAGTCAGTAGGTTGGTCGTCCGCAGCAATTACCATCCAGGAGGGATAGTAGATGCATCTCGATCGTGATGGATAAAAGCGAAAGCGAGCCAGAAAGAAAGCCCTGCTGCCTCCTCGTCCATTTTTGGCACTTCTATACTCACTTTCTGGACCACGGCACTGGGGCGCCGTGACAGCCATGTTAACGCCCTGGGCGTCCTCAAGTCGGCGACTCCTACGGCTATATCGGCGACATATCGCAGCCACCTCGCTCCGGGGACCCTTTTTACGGCCGCCTCAGATCTTGAGCCGTCACCGAATGACACTCACAACAGCCACCTTCAGAAATTCCAATGGATGAGGGCATACGCATTTTGACCTATTTCCGGCAAACCATACTTTGACCCTGGGACGGCCTGTACACATGGCATGGCCGACAGCAACCCCAAAATGGACCCCCGGCCAGTCTGATGACCTGGCGTTGGATGAGCCCTTTAGCAGTCGGCGTTGAGGCCAAGGATGGAGACAATCAACCAATCAAGCCTCGAGCTCACAACCACAGAGAGGTTGCAGAGCGAGGAGCCTGGGAAAAGAAAAGACGATGCGATAACACGGTGCAACGTAATCTCCAGAGCAGAGAAATCCTATCACGATGGATGCGCGATATCCGGGGACCTGGGCCGGAAGTCGTTCCTCTGCGCCGCAACAGCGCCGCAACAGCACCGTAGAACGCCGGACGGGCTCTCGCATCATTCACTGCGTGGCACACCACACTCGCGTTCTCGGTCAATTAATTACGCGCGGCATTTCGTGATCCCCCACAGCAGTCGCCCTCCTCCTTCCTTCTGCCCCGATGCCTATCGGAGTACCGCTTCCGCTGCAAGAAGCGCCTCGTGATCTTCGCCGACTTTCGGCTTTACATACCATGATAGCTTTTGAACGCCCTTGATCACAGCAGGCGCCGAATATCAATGGCCGATCGGAGCCTGGCCGCGAGGGCGTGAAAAGCCAATCAATCGGTGATCTCACCAGCCAGAAAGAACGCGGCTCGCGATTTCCTCATTTCCTGCACTGACAGGATACAACACCACAACGCAGCCACAGAAACTAGGCAGGCATGATCGCGGGCACTCCAGGCAGATTCGTCGTCAGTGGTGCCTTCGGATAAACATCGGCGATGGCTTCTTGAATAGGAAGGCACAAGCAACAATACCACCGACCTGACCTCTGCTCTTGCTGCCTTCCGCTCTTCGCATCGCCGGTCATTCTTTCCGATACTGCATCTTTGAGGGGTCGAGTCAGCTGGCAATGCCAATCTTGGAAGGCCAATTGCTTCTCCGACTTGGAACATGGAAAATCTCGCCTCTTTACCACCAAACCTTCACGGGTCCTCACGAGCACTTCAACACTCTGCACTCAAGCTTGGCTGGCTCCATTTCAGGTCGGATTTCGGGCAGCCAACCAACATATTCGAAGCTGCACAACCACTCCAACCGCGCGCTTTAGCTACAGTACCTTCAACATCTACCCTCGAACGGCCGGCTGGGTTTCCGCTCCATTGCCAACTCTCGTGAGGCTGACAGGCAGCTTCTAGACTTCCAGTCTCCCGCGCTCTGTGCTGTCACTTGAACGCCGACTGCATCTACTGAACACCGAACTAGCTCGGACTATTCAAGACATCACAGCCATGCTGATCAAACACCTAACCCTTCTGGACAAAACAAGCGCGGGTGGCTGACGGATGAACTGCGTAGATCTGCGATGCAATCCCCGGATCCGCAGTCCGCCCGTGTCCCAAGATCCAGCTTCCGCCAACCGGTTCAGCAAGACTGCATATACCCGGTCTGGCCTGGACCTTAGCCGCAGTCAGCACTTGCACAAGATGAGTGCTTGGACGCAGATGTCATGTGCGCTTCTTGGCTTCTACAGTGTATACGACGGCAAGGCAGCTTGTACAGGTACGTATATACAAGTCCGAGTGATGCCATTGGAGCTGAAAATGAAATGCTTCTGTTCTCTAGCTGAGACAGAAAAAGCAATGGAAAGTGAGGCTCTACTATCGAGTTCATCCAACTGCATGACTCCCTGGCAAACCTATCCCTCGGCTACTCCCACATGCCGATTTCAATTTCCCCTATCTCCAGTGAGATTGGGTTACCTCATCTACTGTCATGTTTCCCATCTCAGCTTGTATCAACCCCTACCATTGACTTCTGCCCTCCTTTACGCTATACTAATGCATCAGCATCGATCACTAAGATCCTGTCTGCCTAGGAACTGGCTCGTGAGAGAGTGACACTATTGACCTGGGAACGCGCTACCATTGCTAAATGCGAGCGGAAGGCGGATCACCCTACTCAGGGATGTATCGCCGACGGTGTCGAGGTGTGCGGAATTAAGTCCGAACACACTTACACGACAACATACCAGAAAGTGTTCGGTCTTTTTTTTCGCACACCTCGGGTGTATAGAGGTTTCCAAGGAACTTGGCAGCCAATAGCACCCCATTCAAGTGATGTAAACCCTTGACCTACGTCGATATTCGGTCCGTATCATCCCAGTGGATGATTTTTCGAAATGATCATCAGCCGAGAAGCCGCAACCGCTGCGCTGGGACAAGCAGATTAACCTATCAAAGCTCGTTAACAGCTTTAGGATAGCTTTCCGCAGTTCCGAGGACCGAGCTAAGAGAGCGAAAAGTTTGAAAGATGCAAAGGCTGGCTG